TCAGTCTGTGCACCTAGTGGGGGATGTCTCCTAGTTAGGCTACTCAGGGGTCAGGGACCCACTTGAGCAGGCAGTCTGTCTGTTCTCAGATCTCAACCTCCATGCTGGGAGAACCAATGCTCTCTTCAAAGCTGTCAGACAGGGACATTTACATCTGCAGAGGTTTCTGCTGCTTTTTGTTAAGCTATGCCCTGTCCCCAGAGGTGGAGTCTATACAGGCAGGCAGGCCTCCTTGAGCTGTGGTGGGCTCCAACCAGTTCGAGCTTCCTGGTGGCTTTGTTTACCTACTTAAGCCTCAGCAATGGTGGGAGCCCCTCCCCCAGCCTTGCTGCCACCTTGCAGTTAGATCTCAGACTGCTGTGCTAGCAATGAGGGAGGCTCTGTGGGCATGGGACCTTCCGGGCCAGGAGTGGGATAAAATCTCCTGGTGTGCTGTTTGCTAAGACCCTTGGTAAAGTGCAGTATTAGGGTGGGAGTTACGCGATTTTTCCAGATGTTGTGTGTCTCAGATTCCCTTGGCTAGGAAAGGGGAATTCCCTTCCCCCTTGCACTTCCCAGGTGAGGCAATGACTCACCCTGCTTCAGATCTCGCTGGTTGGGCTGCATCCACTGACCAGCACCAACTGTCTGACACACCCCAGTGAGATGAACCCGGTACCTCCGTTGAAAATGCAGAAATCAGTCTTCTTCTGTGTTGCTCACGCTGGGAGCTGGAGGCTGGAGCTGTTCCTATTTGGCCATCTTGGGCGCCCCTCTCTAAGCTAATTTTTTAAAGATATTTTTATTTCAGGTTGGACCCCAATTGGTAGAAATTCACAACTCTTCAGTTTTAGGTCTCTCTGCCTCCCATTTCAGAATCGTGCAGCAGAATTGCATTATTTTGAATACTGTAATGTATAATTTGTGATTATTCCAATTATTACAATAAAGATTGCTTTGCATGAATAAACTACAGTATACAACCATGTGTGGATAAATGGATGAGATACTTAAGAACAGAAGTGTTAATAAACTAAGAGTGTAGGCTGGGTGCGGTGGCTCATGTCTGTAATCCCAGCAACTTGGGAGGACGAGGCAGGCGGATCACCTGAGCTTGGGAGTTCAAGACCAGCCCGATCAACATGGAGAAATCCTGTCTCTACTAAAAATACAAAATTAGCCAGGCATGGTGGTGCATGCCTATAATCCTAGCTACTTGGGAGGCTGAGGCAGAAGAATGGCTTGAACTGGGGCAGCAGAATTTGCAATGAGCCAGGATCCCACCCCTGGGCAACAAAAGCGAAACTCATTCTCAAAAAAAAAAAAAAAAGAGCAGAATACATTCTGACACATTCTACAATATGGATGAACCTTGAGGGCATTATGCTAAGTGAAACAAGCCAAACATAAAAAAGAAAAACAGCATGTGATTCCACATTACACAAGGTACCTAGAGTAGTCAGATTCACAGAGAAGGTAGAACAGTGGTTGCCAAGAGCTGCGTCAGAGAAGAATGGGCAAGTGTTGTGTAATGGGTACAGAGTTTCAGTTTTGGTGAGATGAAAAAGCTCAGGAGAGGGGTGATGGTGACTGTTTCACAACCAAGTGAGTGTAGTCAAAGCCACTGAACTATAACTTAAAAATGTTAAAATGGTAAATTTTACTTTACATACATTCAACTACACACACACAAAATGGAGCCACAAAGTTTCAAGTATCTTAACAGGACAAATCAAAACCAGTCTTTGGAATATACTATTTTCATTTTTCCTTTACTTTATGCCAAGATGTGTAAGTTACAAAACAAAAATGCATCTTTAACTGTATTCAGGTCTTGCAGTAAGTGTATGGCCTGTTGGAAGTCATATTCCTCCCAAACCATCAATCATTAAAGTGTGCAGTTCTAAAAATACAGATATAAAAATACCTTTTCCCGAATATTCATTTTTTATTTATATTTTCACCTTCCGATTTTGTGTATCACCTAAGAAGTGAGTATGCCTCATGGTTAAGAATGTGGGCTCTGGTGTTAGAAAGATTTATCACGAATGTCCCGGAGTAACTCTGGGGCTTTACCACCTGACACTTATTCTCAGATTAATGGAAACACTTGCCTCTCTTATAAAAGGAGAAAGAGGGAAAAAAAGGATAAAAAGAAAGTAAGAGTCAGAAAACGCAAGTTTCAGTCATAAATGATTTTATCTAGACAATTTAAAAAAATGAAGGGAGAGAGAAATCAAGGAAGTTGCTAAATCCACGTGCTTTACCTTTCCATTTATGCAGGCGATGATAAACTTATTAGGGCACGTGGAAAAGTAACTCCTTCTGTATTCCTTACAACACTTACCTTTGAGTGGTCCCAACAGGATGCTGGTCATGCTTGCAGTTCAGCTGAATTTTTATTTTTATTTTTATTTTTTAACACTACTTGCTATTCTTTCTGGTTTCTTCCCAGCCTCTTTATGGGTGTGCGGTAAAATAATACTTAGATACCCACCGGCTTCCATTTACTTCCATCCCTGCCCTGCCAGACCCGCTGGGCAGGATCCCCCACCTCTCCAGCCCACAAACTGGAAGGTGCAGCGCCCAGGGCGCACAGCTCCCGGGTGGCCGTGGGACTCATGCACAAGAAGGCCATCCCCGCACTAAGCTGAGGCGTTTCTGGAAGGTACCCTCTGCCTAGGTGCCGGCAGTGGCCGCGGAACCCGCCCCGGGGGACAGAGCGCATCATCAAGGTGGTTTGGCCACGTTGAGGCCTCCCCGGCCTCCTTCCCACATGCCCTCACCCACGGGGACCTTCACTGGCCCCTGTGTTTACCTAAAACTTTTGCCACGCGCCATCTCCACTGTGTCCCTCAGCCGCTGACCGGAACCAGGTGCGCGGTGGGGGGCGGGGCGACCGGCAGGGGGCGTGGCGAAGGCTGCTGATTTCCTACCGCAAACACCACACCCGCTTCACCTAAAGCAGAAATTAAAGCCAGGAGGCACCACCCCTTGTGGGCCCCTGAAAACTACAAAACCAAGTTTGGAGACTGTTCAAAGGCGCTTGGGTTGGCCAGTGGCAATTTTTGTTTCCCGTCCCTCTGCACACGGGACAGCCCTCGCGCTGCCAGCGGCTCTGGCTGGGGGTGAGTCCGGAACCTGTGAGCCGCGGAACTCTGGGCTCAGAGCTCCGATTTCCGCTAGGCGCGTCCTTGCGGTGCGCTTTCCCAGCGGCTCTCTGGCCCCGCTTGCCGCTTGTGTGGGGAGTTGGAGACAGCCCTGGCCACGCGGGCCTGGCGCTGACAGACCCTGCAGCGGTGTCTGACGGGGGTCGGGGGTGGGCAAAGCCACCGGCTGCCCCAGCACATCCTCACATAAGTGCGCAGATCCCGGGCTCAGGTGCGACTGGGGTCGCACGTGGACGCAGGTTGCAGGCCCCTGGCAAATTGCTGAGCTGGGGGAAGGTAAGGGGAAATGTAATTCACTTTTCCCCACATTTCAGAGGACCTAGGCTACCAACATTTTAAAAATTGTTAGAATTTTTACAGTATGGCTCTGTCCGTTGAATGTTATTGAAATCAACCGAACCTCAGTTATTAACGCCTAGAAGCTCCCCTTGAGGCTTGTTACGGCCCCCATCGCCCTACACACAAACTGTATTGGTTTCTCCTTCCGCCTTTGTGCTCCTAAAGCACTCAGTGTTTACCTGTCATCATGCTTCATTGAAAGTACAAACTTGTCACTTGTCTGTCCACACCAACTAAGCTTCTTGAGAGTTAGAACTTTCATGTCTCTTCCCAGCACAAGCGTTTTATGCGTATTTTGTTGAAGAACTTCAAATATGATCTATAAAATTATGACTCATTTATATTTCAAACTCCAACCTCTCCCTTGAGTTCCTGGCTCACAGCAACTACAGACTGAGCTTAGTTGGAATTCAGTAGCACACAACTGGGATATCCGCACTGTCCGGCTTTTAACAATTTTTAAAATTTTGGTACTGTCAGCATCGCAAATTCAGTGTCCAAAATAGAGTAGAATGTTGTTTCTACCCACCCATACTCTGCCATCCCCTGAAGTCCTTTCCCCATGGTCCACCTCAAGCCTTGCCTATCGCAGTAAATGGCAGTTCTCTCTTTCCAGTTGCTCACACATAAAACGAGGCTGCTATTTTGATGTCTTCATTTTTCTCTATTCTGTATCTAATTCCTTAGCAATCCTGTCAGTTCTACCTCCAAACTGTACTCAGCATATTCACTGCTCTAACTCCAGCTTAAATCACCATGATCCTTTGCCTGGAATGCTGCATCAACCTTCTAATCACTCTACTTTCCTCTCCCTCCTTCCTCCCTTTCTTCTTCCTTCGTGTAAATTATCATTTCATCCTTCTGCTTAAAATCTTCTCTTGTTTTCTTATTACACTTACAATGGCAAACTCTTACCTTGAGCCCTGCGGAATTTGGCAGCCATCAGTCTCTCCAGCTTCACCTTCTGCCTCCTTCACACTCTAGCCCCGCTCACTTTTTCATTCCTCAGGCTTCCCAAGCTCAATTGCATCTTAGAGAATTTGTTCTTGCTGTTTCTTCTGCCTGGAATACGTGTTTCCCAATCTTTATAGGACTATCCTTACCTGTAGGTTTCATCTCAGATGTCACATCTAAGAGAGGTTTTCCTTGACCACTGTAGCCAAAGCAAATGTTGATCACGGAAGGAAAAAGGGAATGACTGAGTGGAGTGGTGTGTAGTGTAGCAGAGTTGATAATTTAAGGCTAATTCACTATGTATCTCCAAGCAAAGAGATTTGTAATGCTTTTCCTGCCTAAAATCTATACAGCTGATTCACAAATACTTGGTTGAAAGATTTTATAGATCAGTGTGGCTCATCAGCTTATATGTTGTTAGGGCCAGAATCTATACTTACACTTCATTCAAATTTGATTTTACCGAAGAATTGGGGTTTTCATTTTTCGTTTAATTAACAGAGCTGTGAAATTATTATCTGTAATTCTAAATCTCATTTAATTCCTCCCAATAGGATGTAAGACGGATTGGCATCAAAGTTCACTTCTTTAACAAAAGTGTTTTATGACTTTAATAAAATATTAGAGAATGGTAGACTCCATGGAAGCCCTTTACAAAAACTTGTGATAGGAAGTTTTGATGATGAGCAGACTTTGCAACAACTGGAATTGCAAAATGACCCAATTTTACAAAGCTTCCAAAATGCAGTTAGTGAAACAAAGATGAGGATATAAGTCTCCCAGAGAGTGAAGAACAGGAGTGTGAAGAGGATGGTTCAGAGACAGAGGCTGGTGGCCAGGAGGACCTAGAAGATTTAGAGGAGGAAGAGGAAGTGTCAGATATGGGTGGTGACAATCCTGAAGTGAGTGAGACAGCAAACTCAAGCAAGTGCGATCTGAGGAAAAGCCCAGTTTTCAGTGCTGAGGATTCTGATCTTGACTTTGGTATCAACAAATTGGAACAGCAGAGCAAGGTGCAAAACAAAGGACATGGAAAACCAAGAGAAAAGTCCATAGTAGAAGAGATATTCTTCCAACTCTCTGCAATGGAGGCCTATTTAGAACACAGACAACAAGAAGAGGAACAAAAAGATGATGATGATGAGGTGGAAGATACTGATCTTTTTAAAGATATTCATGCTGATGAAGATGAAGGGGGACTCTCTGGAAGTAAGAAAGTTAAGGTAAAGTTATGAGAGAGGACAGAGCCCTTTCCTCCTCCTCTAATTAGCTTTTGTTCTGTTTTTCTAGGAGACATGTAATTGTAGTCAGAAGATGTAGAGCTAATAAATATTATGCTGTATCTTATCAGTTAAAATGAATCTATACTTCCATTCAGTTTATGTTGCAGTTGTTCCTGTAATAGTTTTATGGTAGTGTTTTTAGTTGCCAATTTCACCTAGTAACTATTTTTTGACTTGTAGTGTTATTAAGTTAGAAAGTAATGTAAACATACAGTACACATACAAATATATATGCATGTGTTAATGATGTATTTTTCTATTCCTAATTAATAGTTTTAAAAATATTTTTATCTTAGTCAGGTAAAAGTTCCAGAAATGTGAAGTACAAAGATTTTTTTGATCCAGTTGAAAATGATGAACACATAGCAAGTGATCATGATGATGCGCTGGGTTCAAACAAGATGATGAAATTGCTGAAGAAGCAGCAGAAGAACTAAGCATTTCTGAAATCTATTTTGAACCATCCTTTACAAGGTGAGCTGGAATTGCCCACTCATGTATTTGTACTTGTGGTTTGCACGTATGTTTGTTTTAAGAAGTTAGATTCTGTCCTATCAGATATTTTCAAGATAGCCAGAGGAAAGTCTCTGGATTTAAAGGGACATTAGAGATCAATTAATGAAGAAAAATATTACTGGCAGTAGCAATCAAACCTTTCTTACCAGGAACTTTGATTTGGTTTTGTGCCCCCAAAATCCTGTTATTTTTGTGAGATAGGAGGTTTGTATTATAGATCAATGAATGATTTATTTTCTATATATTACACACTTTTTGTTCTGTTTCTTACATAGCATTTCACTGAAATGATACCTTCTCTTCCTTAATGCCTGGATGATTTTGGAAGTTCTGAGTATTTGATTGCATTAGGCATATAAAAGAAGAACTTTATTGAGGGAAAATATATTTCCTTTTGTTTTTCTATTGGAAAGCAGTATATTTCTTTTTATAAGAGTTTTTGTAGTGTTGGGATGAAGACGATGACCTGGAAGAAAGTGAAGACAGTAAACAATGTAAAGAAAGCTTGAAAAGAGTGACCTTTGCTTTGCTGGATGATGAGGCAACTGACAATGCAGGTGTTTTAAATGTAAAGAAAAATTCTGATGACGTTAAATCCTCTTTGGTAAAAAGACAGGAAAAGGTAATTAGGAATTTAAGGAATTTTTAATATGCTTGACATGATTGTGGAACTGACAGACTACTAACAAACCTTCCCTGTTTTCCATCTTTTTTGAGATGGACTCTTGCTCTGTCATCTAGGCTGGAGTGCAATGGTGCAATCACAGCTCACTTGTACCTCCTGGGTACAAGTGATTCTGCCTCAGCCTCCTGAGTGGCTGAGATTAGAGGTGCTTTCCAAAATGTCTGGCTAATTTTTCTATTTTTAGAAGACATGGGGTTTCACCATGTTGGCCAGGCTGGTCTCGAACTCCTGACCTCAGGTGATTCTCCTGCCTCAGCCTCCAAAAGTGCCGAGGTTACAGGCGTGAGCCACTGTGCCTCAGCGTTCCCTATTTTTCTTGTAACTATTAACCATCCATCCTTTGAAAACAAATATCTTGGCCAGGTGCAGTGGCTTACGCCTGTAATCCTAGCACTTTGGTAGTCTGAAATGGGAGGATCACTTGAGCTTATGAGTTCAAGACCAGGCTGTGCAACACAGTGAGACCTGGTCTCTAACAAATATTCAAAAATTAGTGGGGCGTGGTGCTGTATGCCTGTCGTCCAGCTACTCGGGTGGCTGAGGCGGGAGGACCACTTGAGCCCGGGAGGTCGATGCAGCAGTGAGCTACAATCACATCACTGCTCTCCAGCCTGGGCGGTGGAGCAAGATCCTGTCTTCAAACAAACAAACAAACAGAAAACCGAAAATCCTGGGGCTACTCTCTAAAGCAAAAGCACATTATATAGAGATGCCGTATGGAAAGCATCTGATTTGCAAAAATCAGTGCCTGCATTACCCAGCCTATAGCTTTCAATGTGGGGACTGTGTGTAAAATGGTTGTTTCTTTTCTCTCTCCTTATGTCTTTATATGTATAGCATGTCTCTCCTGACAAAGCTGTCCTGAGAGCCTCTTGTAACTGTTTTCACTGCTCTGGAGGATACCGCCTGTGTCTTTAAGGTGCTCCACAGATTTTGGTGAGTGCAAAAAATAGCCGTAATTTTAATTAATACCATAACAAACATATCTTCCAAAGTATGTCTGATTTCAGACAAGTGAAATTTCATTTAAATTTAGTAGATGTAGTCTGGCTCCAATAATTTGGCTATATTATTTATCCAATCTTAAAATTGTATTATAATAAAAATGAGAATAGTGCCAGGCACAGTAGCTCACACTTGTAATCCCAGCACTTTGGGAGGCTGACGAAGGAGGATTCTTTGAGCCCAGGAGTTCGAGACCAGCCTGGGCAACGTGGTGAAACTCCGTCTCCACTAAAAATTTTAAAAATGAGCTGGGTTGGTAGCGTGAGCCTATATTCTCTGCTACTCGAGAGTCTGATCTGGGATGATCGCCTGAGTCCAGGAGTTCAAGGCTGCAGTGAGCTATTATTGGACTATGGCACTCCAGCCTGGGCAACAGAGCTGGAGAATACGCAAATAAGCCATACCAAGAATATCAAAAGAATTATTTTTAAAATCTTCGAACCTAAATTAAATTCATCATTGCCAGATTGTCCCTAGAGGATAAATTCTAAAGGCAAAAAAAACCCCCAAAAAACAAAAAACCCCATAAAGTATTAATAAGTTAGTGTCCTTCCATCCCACTCCTCCCACCCTCCCCCCACAAAAAAGAAAGAAAGGTTTGGTTTTGCTTTGAAATTTTATTAGACCTTCAAGTGAAGTTTTCAGTAAATCACAAATAATTTATTGCCATTTCCACATATAAAGTAGAACTTTCAAGCTTTTTTCGTTTGAAACTGTTAGAATATGAAAACCCAAACCTGACAAAGGTAGCATTAACACACACACACACACTCTTATTCATGACTCATGACGCGGACGTAGCCCAGTGGAAAAATTATGCCACACAACCACGTGAACCTTATTCTTTGGAATCACTCTTAGAAGATCTGGTATGATTCCTGGTTGCAAGACGTTAAGGACAAAATACACAGTTCCCTCCATATATGTTAGAAAGACATTTGATAAAATTCAGTATTTATTTCTAATTTTTTTTACCCCTAGTGGATTATAAACACATCTAGCCAAAAGCTGCCATCATGCATGATGGGTGAAATTCTGCAAACATCCCTTAAAGATCAGGAAGAAGACAAAATGTCCAGTGTTACAGTTACCCCCATTAATTAACACTAACAGTTAATCGCCACGTAAGCCAGTGCAACTACAAAAGATAAAGATAAGAGATTAGGAAAACTACGGGGAGCCGTGGTTCACACCTGTAATCCCAGCACTTTGGGAGCTCAGGAGCTCACAGCACTTGAGCTCAGAAGTTTGAGACCAGCCTGGGCAACATGGTGAGACCTCATCTCTGTGAAAAAATACAAAATGAGCTGGCATATTACTTGCACCTGTGGTCCCAGCTACTTGGGAGTCTGAGGTGAGAGGGCTGCTTGAGCCTGGGAGGCAGAGGCTGCAATGAGCTGAGATGGCACAACTGTCCTCCAGCCTGGGCAACAGAGTGAGACTGTGTCTCAAAAAAAAAAAAAAAAAAAAAAAAAGATTAGGGATACTAAAATGAAAACATTATTGTTTGGAGAGAAAACTGAATGGATAAACTGAATCGATATTGGGAACACAAGATAATTCTGTAAGGTAGCTGAAAAAGCTGGGATTTTATACACTGAAGTCATAATTGTTGTCTTTTGTAAGTTAGAGATAAGAAGAATTTGAGTTTAGAGTCAAAAGGGTCAGGCTCCATTAAATACTAATATTCTAATCAAAGAATTACTTGCCTGGGCATGGTGGCTCATGCCTGTAATCCCAGCACTTTGGGAGGCTGAGGCGGGCAGTTCACGAGGTCAGGAGATCAAGACCATCCTGGCTAACACGGTGAAACCCTGTCCCTACTAAAAATACAAAAAATTAGCCGGGCATGGTGGCGGGCACCTGTAGTCCCAGCTACTCAGGAGGCTGAGGTAGGAGAATGGTGTGAACCCAGGAGGCGGAGCTTGCAGTGAGCCTACATCGTGCCACTGCACTCCAGCCTGGGTGACAGAGTGAGAGACTCCATTTCAAAAAAAAAAAAGAATTACTTAACTTTAGGATGCTCTAATAATCAAAATTGATAGTGGCTTGTGAACAGATAGATCACTTGAATAGAATAGAGCTCAGATATAAACCCAAATGCTTCTGAGGGAGTTAAGTATATTATAAACATGACATTTTAAATCAATGAGGAAAAGAAATCATTTGCAGCTCACCCCACCATAGGCAGCAGAAATAGGAAGTCATTGGCAGAATAAAAAGACAGTAAGAACAGAATTGTGGAACAGTATATTTCTTGCTTCCCCACTTTTCAAAGTATTTTTTGCTTTTACACAAGTATAAGTGTAATATTATTTTCTAAGTGTATACTCATTCTTTTGTCTCTTTCTTAGATGAAAGAAAAAAGTTATACCTTTAGAAAAAGAGTTGTTAGAATAAAGCCTCGGCAGCGTCAGGGGGCAGTGACAGCACAGAAGAGGCCAGAGAACAGCCTCCTGGAGGAGACCCTGCGCCGTGACCACGCTGTCCGGATGGGTACGGTGCGCTCTTCTACAGAGTGTTCAATTCTGTGCTTTTTCTATAGTTCCCTTTCATAGAAACATTTGGGGTGATGTTTCTTTTCCCTCAACTTTTTATTTTAAAAACTTGCAAACATAGAGAAGTTGATAAAATCATACAGTGAACATCTGTATGCTATTCAACTGGATTCACTAGTTAACATTTTGTCATATTTGTTTCTCTCTTCCGCATATGAAAGATTGTATATGTGCCCTTTTAACCCCTGAATCATTTCAAAGTAAGTTGCCAGTATCAGAGCATTTCACTGTTAGGTACTTTTGTAGATATCTTCTAAGAACCAGGACATTCTCCTATATAATCACAATACCATTAATCTACCCCCAAAATTTAACATCAATACACTAATGATACCTACTGTATAGATTATTATCAGCTTTCTTGCAGTAATCTGTTTAGAAGACTTGCATCCTGTCACCGTCCACTGATTAAATTTTGAACTCTCACTTGAAACCCTGGTCATCTCACTGCCTTCTTTCTTATACCCATTAAGTCAAAATGAGCTCTCATTTTATTTCAGTGGAAAAGAGAACGGAAAAGAGGGGAAGAGTCCCTAGGTACCTGGGAGAAAGTGTGAGCACTTACTACCACACGTATTCTAGTTCTGTGGTTTTCAAACTCCAGGGAGCATCTCAAGGCTTATTAAAGCACCGATAGCTGTCCCTCTTGCCCACTTTCTGATTCGGGAGGTGTGGGGCTGGCCCAGGAATCTGCATGTCTAACAAGTTCCCACGTGTTGCTGATGCTGAGGTTCTGAGAACTACAATGCAAGAATTAGTGGTTTAGTGGACGTCTACCTAATGAATACATGTTTTATTTCCTTTAGCACCTGTGATTACAGAGGAAACACTTTTCACCTGGAAGATATCATTAAACAAGATAAGAGTTCAGGTCAGTAAGAATTAAATTTAACTTAATTGAAATATCACTGAAATGTTTAGAAATAATATGACAGGCCAGGCACAGTGGCTCATGCCTGTAATCCCAGTACTTTGGGAGGACAAGGCAGAAGGATCCCTTGAGGTCAGGAGTTTGAGACCAGCCTGTCCAAGATGGTAAAACTCCACCTCTACTAAAAATACAAAAATTAGCTGGGCATGGTGGTGCATGCCTGTAGTCCCAGCTACTCAGGAGGCTGAGCCAGGGGAATCGCTTGAACTCGGGAGATGGAGGTTGCAGTGAGCTGAGATGCACCACTGCACTCCAGCCTGAGCAACAGAGAAAGACTCCGTCTCTAAATAAATATGTAAATAAATAAATAAATAATAAAAATAAAAAAAGGAAGATGGGGCAGCTTTGCGTACTGCACGCCCTGAAAATGGGCTGATTTCTCTCGAGAGGCAGGGATTTAAGCTCTCTAGCCTACATGGGATACATACAGAAGAAAAAAGAAGAAAACAAAAAGAAATGTAAGTATAAATCAATGAAAATAACTCTTCTCCCTGATTATAAAGGAAATCACATTCTTTTTGTAATAATTTGGATGACAAAATATAAAGAAAAATATTTAATTTTGCCACTCAACACATTCTGGTTTGTTGCTTTTCACACTTTTTATGCCTAGAAACATTTTAACGAAGTAGAATCATAATATATGGTCTTTTGCCACTGACTGTATTTTAAGCATGTTTCTATGGGAGAAATATATCCTAGCATCATCATTTTTAATAGCTGGATATATGTTAAGTGCATCGGTGCCACACCAGAGTGAATTTCCTTCCATATACTTTTTAATGGACTTGAGTAAGGATTTTTGCACCAAATTCATAGATGTAGAATTTCTAGAGGAAAATAATATGAAACAGTTTTAGGATTTTTAAAAGAAATTATCAAATTATCCTGCAGGAAAATTGGTTGAGTTTACACTCCCACAAACAGGGACGGAGCTCCAGGTTCCCCCTGCCATTTGTCATTTCTACTGGTCTTTAAGCAGAACCTTTCATTGTTTTCATTACATTTCTTTGATTTCTAGTGCTTTTGAATCTTTTTCATATGCTCATTGGCCATTTTTCTTCTAGTGGGAAGTGCCGGTTTCTCCATTGCCCATTTCCTGCTGGAAATCATTCATTTTTTTTTCTGAGTAATTTTAAAGATTTCTTTATAGGCTAAGGATATAAACCTTTTATCTGTCATTGAGGTTACAAAGACTTTCTCCCAGTAAGTAATTTGTCATTTCACTTTATTTATTTATGTTTTGCTAGCAAAGAACCAAAGTCAAATTTCACTTAATTATTATCCTGCTGAATGAAAATATTTTAACTTAGTGATTTTAGTGTAAATAGGAGCAGGACAGAATGTAATATCTAGATCTCATTCTGTCACCCCAACTGGAGTGCAATGGCATGATCATAGCGACTGCAGCCTCAAACTCCTGGGCTCAAGTGATTTTCCCACCTCAGCCTCCCAAGTAGCTCTAGGACTACAGGTGTGTGCCGCCATGCCCAGCTAATTTTTAAAATTTTTGCAGAGATGGAATTCGCTATGCTGCACAGGCTGGTCTTGAATTCCTGGCTTACCCCACCTTGGCTTGCCAATATGCTGGGAATACAGGAGTGAACTACTGCTCCCAGCCAAGAGCTTACTTTTGTTTTCTAGGAGTGTTCTTGGTATTTTTTTGTATTTGAGACTTTCATGCTAGTGCCGAAGTATTACACTCACCATATGAGGTTTACAGGACTTTTGTTTTAATATTGAACAGAGGGAACTGTTTAGTTTTGCATCTTTGCAGGTGTACAAAATGTGCCTACCAGGACTCTGCTTTGTATCCATTGGAAAGCAAGAAGTAATACAGTAAAACTGAAAATGGTAGAACTCTAGAAAAAAGCTTAGTTTGGTCTGGGATAAGAAGCACACAGGTAATGGAGCAAATCATGAAAAAGTCAATCCTTGATCCCAGGTAGCAAGCACTACACAGTGACAGAACACAACTCTTGGTTTTCATGATTGCAAGTCATAGCCAAGTATCAAGTGAGAAATGCAGTTTCATTTTCAGGGCTTAGAGAGGCCAGGTGATTCTAGAAAAATAGGATTTAGTGATTAACCTCATGAGAGTGGGAGTTATTTATGTCTTTTTTCTCTCCCGCATCGCTTAGCATTTAGCTTTACTTTAGAGGGTCCTGTATTTGTTTTAAACTTGTAAAGACCTTTGAGTGCTTATTAAATGGAAAGCTTTGTGTGTGTGTGTGTGTGTGTGTGTGTATGTGTGTGTGTGTGTGTAGGTATGTATGCGTGTATGTAAGTATATATGTATTTAGAGAAAAAGTGTCGTTCGGTAGCCCAGGCTGAAGTGCAGTGGCATGATTTTTGCTCACTGCAACCTCCGCCTCCCAGGTTCAAGGGATTGTCCTACCTAGCCACCTAAGTAGCTGGGATTACAGGCACCTGCCACCATGCCCAGTTAGTTGTGTATTTTTAATGGAGACAGGGTTTCATCATGTTGGTCAAGCTGACCTTGAACTCCTGAACTCAGGTGATCCACCCGCCCCAGCCTCCCAAAGTGCTGGGATTACAGGCATGAGCCGCCACACCTGGCTCTAAAGCTTTGTGTTTTTAAAGATGTTAGACAGGTTTCTTGTTTTTTGTTTGTTTGTTTGTTTAATAAAACCTTAACAATAATGTAGGAGAATAAGAGAAAGTTTTTCCAAAAAAGAGAAATCATTGTGATTATATTATCTTATTGGAATATAGGATAATATAGTCTTTATCAATCATCAAGCACACTATAAATTTCCATTTTAATAGGATTTGTACCTCAATTGAGGTTATACAGTTTTAAAGTTTTTAAAGTGAAAGCCAGTCCCGCCCCTGTTCTGGAGTGGGCGGGGACAGCGGTTGCATGGGCGGCTTTCCTTGTGACACCACAGGTCCTTCATGACACGCTGCTGTCTGGGCACGCCTCATTTCCCTTTCATCTTATTGACCAATGAGCTTGAAGCATTGAGGCCACGCCCCTATTCTGCATTCTACTGTGGCCCTGGTTACGCCTCCTCTGTCTCAGTCACACAGCTACGTGGCAGGTGACTGGAGGTGTATAGTTGTCCTCGCCTGGACTGTGCTGATGTGGCCCCAAACCCACCGCCCTACCCGTCCCATGATGTCCGAAGAAACCCTACAGAAAAAATTGGCTAAGGCCAAGGAAAAGGTAAAATGTACCAGGTTGCGGCACCCCCAACTCAGCCCCAGGCTCCCTCTGACAGCCAAACTGCTGCCAGAGTCTGTGCCACTCCCCCAGTGCCTGTGGGCTCCCCACACCCAAATCTTGAGAGCCAGTCAACCCCCCAGGATGACTTTGAGCTGGTGACTTCTGGGGCTTCCCACTCCGTAGTCCACTCTTACCTCCTGCTACCCGAAACCCGACCTCCCTGGGGTCTTTGGGCTCAAGTCTCCAAGCACCTGGGTGCCCCAGAACCTGCCCTCCACCAGTTGCCCCAGAGTCACTTTGGGCAGGTGACTCCTGCGGCTCCCTGCTCCATACTCGGCCCTCACCTCCCACCGCCCCAAGCCTGACCTCCCTGGGCTCTCTGGGCTTGCGTCTCTAAGGCCCTGGGTCCGAATCCTGTGACCCCCCTCCCCAATCTCAAAGTGGCAACTTGGGCATTGCACTCCTGTGTCCCCCCCACCACTCCACCGAGGAGTGGAATGTAGTGATGTCGCAGTCCCTCTAGAACTGTCATTACTGCAATGAGACCGGTCTCTGGACTTAGGACGCAGTCCCCTAAGTGTTCTTGCCAATTTCAGGTTCCTCTGGTTGCAGCACAGGTTTCCAGCTGGAAGGGGAATGGGGACCGTGGGGCCTAGGAGAGAGAGGTTTCAGGCTGCCTTACTTCCTTAATACAGACATTGACAGTGTGAAAAGCCGACAAGTCCCCCATGAGCTCAACACGTTAACAGTGTCTCTGGGTGGCAATGGGAGAACAGGTTTGGTTTAGTTTTCTCCCAGGCTTCTACTCTCCAGAGAGATTTTAACATTGTTTCTGAGTTCTCTACCTCAGACTTGAATTCTCCTTTGTTCTGGGACCAGAGTGCCCCTCAGTCAGTGGTTGCTGGAGTGAGATCTGCCTATCTTCTGTGGAACAGATCTTGGGAAACTGAACTTGACAGCTTGAATCTTCCTCATCTCATCTCCACCTGGGGTACTTTGAGTGCCACAGGATAAATATGGGGCATCTTTCTGAAGCATCAGTTTCCCTTGATTCTACCGAGAGACAAAACATTAATGTACTTAGGGGTGACAGTCACATAGATGTATAAGAGTATACAAGACTTCTCTCTAAAATGAGGGTTGGGTTGTCATCTTTCTGTTAAGTTCCCAGATTTCACAGAAAGGCTGCCTTCTGCCATGAGGATACATTAATATAAATTTTGAGAGGTAGTGGTGCCCTTCCTCACACTAACAGACATGTGAGGCTGTATGACTCTAAACCACACAGTGTACAGTTCCTGCCTACTTAATATTTGCTTTTCTACCTCTGCCTCTGGTTTTGGTCCCTGGCAGCTGCTGATTCTTGGTAAAACCCCAGAGGTTGGAGTCAGAAGACTGAGTTTAAGTTCCATTATTGCCTTCTTTTCAGCCATGGTATCAATCCCTCTCAGTCACTAAGTGATTGTGACAACACTTCCTACAGTTGTTGGTGGCACTAAATCAGATGGTCTATAATGGTATTTTGTATAAACGGTAAAGCAGGATGTGACTGTTGGAGCTTGTAGTTCTCATGAGTATCACTGCTCTTCCTTTCCACAGTTGAGAGACTATCATCCCCAGACCAGCCCTAGTGTTGGTGCAGGAGCAACTGACACCAAAAAGAAGAAAATAAATAACGGCACTAACCCTGAGACAACCACTTCTGGTGGTTGCCACTCACCTGAGGATGTGAGTCTTCGCTGGCCAGGCTCCTGGGGACAGAGGGCCCAAGGGGTGGTGGAGGGTAATTGAGATTGTGGAAGAACTGCCAGGTACTGGTTAAGAATTCTGGGTTTGAATCCTCTCCATCTGCTGGGGATATGATTTAGGGCAAATTGCTTGAGCTCTTTGGGCCTCTCTTTTCACATCTGTAAAATAGGAGTGGTCTTGTTTTACCTACATTTGTGAAGTTTAAATGAGATTTATCATTGTTGTTTTTATGTTAATCCCTAGTCCAGGGCCTGCTGTAAACTCTCCTTCTCGGGCTTGCATTTCCTAAGGTAGAGATAGAGAGTATCAGAGGTGTCTGTCAGCTCTGAGAGTCTGAGAGTTAAAGGCCCACTAGAATGGAAACCTCAGGGCCAAGGGCTCCTGTCTGCCTTTTCCGTCCTATACTCCCGCTGTGAAGAACCGTCCCTGGCCCGTATGTGCTCAGTCAATGTTTGTTGAATGAATGCACCTTTCTAAATCACAAGCTGGCAGAAAAGTGGGCTTTTCTCACACTCCATCTCTGAAGGTTTCTGACTGTCTTTTCTAGAGAATCCAGTTTCAGACTTTGAGCTCTGTGGCTGTCGACAAAACCCAACAAAGACCCAAATCCTTTTTCTTTGGGAGTTGAGGACAGTTTACCAGTTCGTGTTCCCATTGGGTCTAAGAACTTTGCCTTGCAAATCTATCCCGGGCCGGGCGCGGTGGCTCAAGCCTGTAATCCCAGCACTTTGGGAGGCCGAGATGGGCGGATCACGAGGTCAGGAGATCGAGACCATCCTGGCTAACACAGTGAAACCCCGTCTCTACTAAAAATACAAAAAAAACTTAGCCCGGCGTGGTGGCAGGCGCCTGTAGTCCCAGCTACTCGGGAGGCTGAGGCAGGAGAATGGCGTGAACCCGGGAGGCGGAGCTTGCAGTGAGCTGAGATCCGGCCACTGCACTCCAGCCTGGGTGACAGAGCGAGACTCCGTCTCAAAAAAAAAAAAGAAGAAAATCCATCCCTGGCCCCTGCCTACTGCTTCCTGGCCTGGGGAATAGAGTCGAGGGGCCACATTCAGTCACCTTCCTTTGACTGAAACAACAGAACCAAGCTCAGCTGGAAGAAGTAACGTGGTTTCTTTGTTTGCTCATGACATGGCTGCTGGGTTTGGGGGACGCTCAGATATAGAGGCCCCAGTCTCGTCTCGCCCACTCCCAGCCTGGGGAAGAAGGCTCAGCTCCCAGATCCCACCCCGTCCCCACAGGGTTCCTGATAACCTGGTCCCATGGGTGGGCCTGTCCTGGGGCAGTGGTGCCATTCTGGGGGCATGTCTCTTGCTGTGCCATCTCTGCCTCCCCCTAGTAAGAGCTCTGTCTTCCTCTTTCTATAGGAAAAGAAGGCAAGCCACCAACATCAGGAAGCCCTAAGGAGGGAGCTAGAGGTGAGTGGACGGTGTGAAGTTCCCCTCCTGTCCTCTGGAGAAGGTTTCTTTGCTTCTCTTTCAGCATTTGCTTGTCTTTTCTCCCAAAGGCCCAGGTTCATACCATACGAATCCTTACATGTGAGAAAACTGAGCTTCAGACGGCACTCTATTACAGCCAGCGTGCTGTCCAGCAGTTGGAAGGTGGGAATCTGGCACCCGGTCATCCTTCAACCTGGCACTTTGACAGGCCTTTATGGGGAGACCTTTGGGCCACATCTGAATGTCTCTCATTCCAGGAGAGTCCAGGGATCTGGTGAGCCGCCTGCATGATTCATGGAAGTTTGCTGGAGAGTTAGAGCGGGCTCTCTCTGCTGTTGCTACACAGAAGAAGAAAGCGGACAGGGTGAGTCCAACTACTTGCCCTGTCCCCTGGGAGCCCGGCTTCACAGATGGAGGAGTGAGCCTAAAAGTCCCTTCTGCAAGATGGAGTGTCCTGCCCAGAAGGCAGCATGGCCATTTCTTGCTGCTTTTGTGTGTGGTTGTTAGAGGCCAACTGGTGCTGGGTCGGCTGCTGTGGGTGAGTTGGGGGGTGCTGTGGGGAGTGAGCACTGGACATAGAGCTCGCAGGCCAAGTGCCCGCCCTTCCCATACTTGACTTGTTTTACTCTGGCTCATGCCTGTAATGCCAGCACTTTGGGAGGCCGAGGTGGGTGGATCATCTGAGGTCAGGAGTTCAAGACTAGACTGACCGACATGGAGAAACCCCATCTCTACTAAAAATACAAAATTAGCCGGGTGTGGTGGCACATGCCTGTAATCCCAGCTACTTGGGAGGCTAAGGCAGGAGAATCACTTGAACCCGGGAGGCGGAGGTTGTGGTGAGCCTAGATTGCGCCATTGCACTCCAACAAGAGCCAAACTCTGCCTCAAAAAAAAAAAAAAGAAAAAAAGAAAAGAAAAAGAAAGAAACAAAACAAAGACAGAAAAACAAATGAGACTGTGGGCTTGGAAGTGCCTTGAGAGCATGTGAGGTGTGACTGGGAGTGGGGAGTGGTGTGTGGACTGGTCACTGTGGCTGTTGTTCCTGGTCGGCCAGCCGCTCCTCTGCCTGCTCTATCCTGACTTCACCTTTGTCTATTTGCAGTACATCGAGGAGTTAACAAAGGAGAGGGACGCCCTGAGTCTGGAACTGTACAGGAACACGTAGGATGGGGGACGGTGGGATGGGAGGTCTGGGGGCTCTTAGCGTGGGGGATGTGCTGGGAGGTGGGGGTACAGGTGAGCATGGTGAGAGGCTCATACAGGTTTTCATGTGTGCACAGGGAAGCTCTAGTGCCGGCTGTGCCATTGACTCATGCGGTAGCCTCAGGCAACTCATGTCTTCTCTCTGGCCTGCCACCTGTGATTTTTAATTCCTGGGGTCCCATCCAATGCCACGGTTCTGTGGTTGTGGGGTGAAAGCAGAGGGTTGATCACCACAGCGGTCCTTTCTGTTCTTCGTTCATTCCTTTATCTACTGCCTCTGGTCATAGCATAACTGATGATGAGCTGAAGGAGAAAAATGCCGAACTACAAGAAAAACTTCGACTTGTAGAATCTGAAAAGTCTGAGATCCAGCTCAATGTAAAGGAGCTAGAAAGGAAGCTGGAGAGGGCCAAGCTCCTGCTGCCACAGGCAAGCGGCTGCAGCCCCGGGGGTTGTGGGATCCCTGTCCGGCTGGGACCATGGTCTAGGGATCAAGCAGGATATGGGGAGTCTCCAGCCAAAAGCTAGAATATTTGGGTCCTTGTTCTGGTCCTGCCATAGAATCCTCTAGAGTGTGCTAAAAATCTACAAATTGAGGCCCTGCCTGGGAAATCAGAATCTCAGAGTAGGGCTTGACAAAATATTTTATAGGATCATAGATAAAAAACCATTGTTTTATAGATTACATTTATATGGGTAGCTCATGAGTCTGTTTCCTTCTGAGGTTCAAACCAACACTTTCACTGTTCCAGCAGCAGCTGCAGGAGGAGGCTGACCACCTGGGTAAGGAGCTGCAGAGTGTGTCCGCGAAGCTCCAAGCCCAGGTGGAAGAGAACGAGTTGTGGAACCGCCTGTACCAGCAACAGGAGGAGAAGATGTGGAGGCAGGAGGAGAAGATACGGGAGCAGGAAGAGAAGATACGGGAGCAGGAGGAGAAGATGCGGAGGCAGGAGGAGAAGATGCGGAGGCAGGAGGAGATGATGCGGGAGAAGGAGGAGAAGATGCGGGATAAGGAGGAGAACATGCGTGAGCAGGAGGAGAAGATACGGGAGCAGGAGGAGAAGATGCAGAGGCAGGAGGAGAAGATGCGGAGGCAGGAGGAGATGATGCGGGAGAAGGAGCAGAAGATGCGGGAGCAGGAGGAGAAGATGTGGGAGCAGGAGGAGAAGATGTGGAGGCAGGAGGAGAAGATGCACGAGCAGGAGCAGAAGATGTGGAGGCAGGAGGAGAAAATGCATGATCAGGAGGAGAAGATGCAGTGGCAGGAGGAGATGATATGGGAGAAGGAGGAAAAGATACGGGAGCAGGAGGAGAAGATGTGGAGGCAGGAGGAGAAGATGCGGCAGCAGGAGGAGAAGATGTGGAGGCAGGAGGAGAAGATGCAGGAGAAGGAGGAGAAGATGGGGAGGCAGGAGGAGAAGATGCGGGAGCAGGAAACGAGGCTGTGGCAGCAGGAGGAGAAGATGCAGAAGCAGGAGGTGAGGCTGCAGGAGCTGGAGGAGAGGCTGGGGGAGCTGGGGCGGAAGGCCGAGCTTTGGGGGAGCAGGCGGAGGTGGGTGCAAACCCTGGAGATCATACAGAACGACCTCACCACAACTTAGCAGATGGTGGTTGGCTCCCTCTGCTTTTCCACCAGTCTGTGGCCTACAGCTTCAATGGTGGGAAGAAGGGTGTGAGATTTGAGGCTGGGGAGGGAGGCATGGGCCTCTAGGCAAGGGAGGCAGTCACTTAGACCTGGAGGAAGGGGCTAGGAGCCAGGGGCCTGGGCAGGCGACAGAGCCCCACAGTGCCCTCGCTACCCCGTTTATGGTCCCAGAATCTGGAAGCCAGCCACTGCCTACCCTGACACCTATCCTGCAGGTGGAGCTGAAGAGCCAAGAGGCTCAGAGTCTGCAGCAGCAGCGAGACCATTCCCTGGGTCCCCTGCAGCAGTACGTGGCCGCCTATCAGCAGCTGGCCTCTGAGAAGGAGGCTCTGCCCAGCTGCAGCAGCAGGAAGCTCAGGGCAAAGCGGTGGCCGAGATGGCCCCCCGATAGTTGCAGGAGACCCAGTTGAGGGAGTTGATGAGGGCCGGGCCCGGAGCGGGGTGACCTAGCAGCCTCCGTGCCTTCTCACTCTCTTTCCTGGCCCCTTAGGAGCACCTGGAAGCTGCCATCCAGCAGAACAAGCAGCTACACACCGAGCTGAGCCTCATGGCTCTCCCTGGGGAAGGTATGGGAGACCACTTAGAGGAAGAGGAGAGAGCCCCAGGAAGAGGGGGGGACTGTTAGCAGCGTAGGATTGAGGAGTTGCAGGAGACTTTTAGAACAACTGGTCATTATGCCGACCAGGTATCTGCGCTATGTTCGGCATAGATATGGCGACCTCCTGGGAGTGGGGGAACACCAGGGTTGCCTATGAATGGGGGAACTGGCCCAGGGCGGAAATGGAGCATGTCAGAACTCCTGTGTTGATTGGTAGTGGGACGGCACCTGGGCAACGTAGGGAGACGTTGGCTCTTCAAAAAAATAAAAGTAAAGAACAGCTGCTGATTTCCCTCTGGGGAGGGGCTGGCCAGGGTTGCACAGTGAGGGTGGGGGCAGAGGTGGGTCCATTGTTACGTCCCTTGTTGGGTTGTCTGAGGAGCCCTCTGGCCACTCCCCACAGGAGATGCACTGGACAGGGAGGAGGTGGAGGAGGAGGAGGCACCTCAGCCCATGCCAAGCATCCCAGAGGAGCTGGAGAGCCGGGAGGCCATGGTGAGCCTGACTCTGCCTACCCCAGCTTTGCCGTCTCCCTTGGTGGCCCCTCCCAGACCCCCTTAGCTCTTGGTTTCCCGCCTTCTGATTTCTCCGGACCCTCTAAGTCATGCAGCAGCTCTGCGGGGGTGGGTGTGAGGGGGGTGTGGGCACAGGTGTGGCAACTGAGCACCTTTCCCTCCAGGTGGAGCTGGTGTTTCCGCTTGTGAGCGACCGTAACCAGGGACGTGGTGGATTGCGGGCAGCTGCCCAGAACCCTGTGGAAGAGTCTGCACCAGGGACCCCGGTCCCTCAGGAGCTCGGGGTTGCCAACAAGCAGGGTGGTGAGTAGAGCCCTTGGGCGAGGGGGGCAGGCAGGAGCAGGGGAGGGCTCGCACGGTGCTCAGTTTCCTGCCTTTCTCCCTCCAAAGATCTCTACAGCAAGCCCTGCCTGCCATTCTTCTACCGCGCACATGACAAGAAGGCAAAAATAATAAACATCTAAAAGCCGGCAGCGAGGCCTGGAGAAGAGTCAGCTGCCGTGTGACTGTTTACAATATAGTCAGAACACAAACCTGAAAAAAAAAAAAAAAAAGAAAAAAAATTTATTTATTTTAAATAGTGGCAAAATACTGGCCAGGCACGGTGGCTCACACCTGTAATCCCAGCAATTTGGGAGGCTGAGATGAATGGACCACCTGAGGTCAGGAGATCAAGACCAGCCTGGCCAATACAAAAATTAGCCGGGCATGGTGGCGCATGCCTGTAATCCCAGCTACTTGGGAGGCTGAGGCGGGAGAATCGCTTGAACCCGGGAGGTAGAGGTTGCAGTGAGCTGAGATTGTGCCACTGCACTCAAGCCTGGGTGACACAGCGAGACTCCGTCTCCAAAAAAAAAAAAAAAAAAAGTTTCTTGCTTATCTTCCTTACATGTGTGTTTCTATTGTTTTTGGGTTTTTGTTTTTTTTTTTCCTTGTTCTTTCTCATTTAGTCTTGTCTTACGGCATTCCTAGTAAACTTTTATCTGCCTCCAGAGAGTATTGACTTTGACTTTATGGCACACAATTGGAGTAAGCGCAGATCACCTTCATGTAGTTTGGGACTAAGCTGGTTCAAAGCAGGCTTTAGTCTTTGTGATGGCTGGTCTACTTTTTATTCATTTGGACTCCTAGGGGTGACCCTTCCAGGGTCCCCACCAAGGTCCCATCTCCTTACTGGGACCCAAATTCTCATTAGGTCAGTTCAACCCTGTGAGTGCCAAACATTCAGCTAGGCTCTCCAGCCTCTTAACTACCACTTCAGACTCAGTTTCTTAACCTCTTAGCCCTCTGTTGTTTACCAGTCACCAAATGTGGGAAAAGCAGTACAGACTGTCAGGGTCACCTCCTAGGCCTGGTCACTCAAGTCCTGGCTAAGGTCTCCAATTACCTTCAAACAGTTGTTTTTGGTGGGGGGCACATTTTTGTCCGGGTTTTTAAACTGCTCTTGTAGGGAGGCTAATCTATAACAAGCTACTCTGCCTTCAGTGAAAACCTTCATGTCTTTTTTTTTTTCTGAGATGCAGTCCCGCTGTTGCCCAGGCTCTAGTGCAGTGGCAGGATCTCGGCTCACTGTAACCTCTGCCTCCTGGGTTCAAGCAATTCTCCTGCCGCAGCCTCCTGAGTAGCTGGCATTACAGGCGTATGTCACCATAGCTGGCTAATTTTTATATTTTTAATAGAGACAGGACTTCACCATGTTTTCCAGGCTGGTCTCGAGCTCCTGACTCAGGTGATCTACCCGCCTTGGCCTCCCAAAGTTCTGGGATTACAGGCGTGAGCCACTGCGTCCGGCCCATCTGTCTTTTAAAAAATGTTTTTAATTTGAAGTATAATTTACATTCAGTAAAATGCACAGATCTGCTTTACATTTTGATGAGTTTTAACAAATGCATTACCCATATAACCCACCTCCTTTGAAGATATAGAACATTCCTATCATCCAGAAAGTTCTCCTGTGCTTTAACCCTGTCCGGCACTCCCCCAGCAGCTGATGAACCTGCTGTCGACATTGGTACAGGATTCTGGCCTCCCCAAAAGAGCTGCTTTGACAAACCTGCTTGCCTTACCCAGCACTAAGTCCCTGTCTGCTCTCTCAAAATTTCCATCTTTAAACTGGTTGTACCTATAACCCTCCCTCATCAAGTCAATAGATAAACAAACCCTGGAAAAAAACACCCCTTCCTGGCCCAGCAGCCCACAGCCTAATCTTTCCTGTATCCCCAACTATCAGACATGTCACTCGCCTGCTGGTTCACCCTCACTAGGGTGGCAGTTGTACAGGAGCAGCTGGGCTGACCTGTTAAGCAAGAAGCCAATAGCTGGACAGTGACACTCAGACCCCAGCCTGGGAGAGCCTGGCTGAAAGCCCCCTTCTTTCTGGTCTGACTGTGGAGAGAGGGGGCGGAGCATCTACAACTCTACTACCCTCCGCATCCTTCAGCTGTGCTTCCTCCTGGGAGACGGAGCTGTTCGTTTATTTGGCCAAAACTTTCTTGAGGGCTGTAGGTGTGTGGGGGCCACTGTGCTAGAGAGAGAGGCTGGTGTGTCAGAAGGCAGCCACCTGGCCAGAGGAGGGTCAACCCCCTTGGTGTCCTCCTTCCCCTGGCTGGACACAGCGCCCTGCACTCTCCACATGTGACTGCTCCCCTCAGAGCCGCTTCCAGGGGAGGGGTTCTAACCCTGTGGGTGGGGACACTGTGTTAGTTTACAGTGGGCCATGGCTCCCTCTGACATCTCCAACTCAGAGGCAGTGGAGAGAAGATGAGAAATTCCCTGCACCTCCTCCCTCAGCACCCACCTCTGCACACATCCACATATGGAGACCCTGACGGTGGTCCCTGGGAGTGCCGCCATCTGTGCCTCCTTTCCATGCCTGCAGCAGCCATGCCCATTCTCCAGACCCTCACCCAACTGGCTCAGTAGAGGCTGCACTGCCCTGGGTCCTGCCCCTACACCTGGGCCTCTGTACCCATCAGTTCCCCCAGTCTGGTTCTTATTTCCCCCAACAAGTAGGGAGCCTATAAGGTCACCTGCTGAGCAAGCTGGGGGAGAGAGTAGGGCCGGGCTGGGAGGATGAGGAGGAGAAGCTTATGGTCCTGTTGGAGACTCAGTGGAGCAGAGTCTATGCAGACCCATTGGCTGCCTAGCCAGTGCTGATCCTGCTCTCACACTCGTTTCTTCTTTAACAAAACCATGACCTCATTAAATATTGGAAACCTATAAACCTCATGGACCCTCCTCCAGCCTCCCCGCCATGCATTGGTGAGTCTAAGTCAACTCTAGTCATTTCATTCCTCTGGACACTGATTGCCTGGGGCTTAGGCATGAGCTGCTTCTTCACCTGAGCCTGAGCCACACGTGTCCTGAGCCTGCACCTACCAACTGATGCACTGGGCCAGGGAGAGCTCCGTATCGATGGAGATGAGCTGTGAGGAGCTGGTGGCTGGGTGGATCACGTTGTTGTAACGGGTTTTGTTCAGAGGGTCATCCATCAGCTTCTGCTCGGCATGGACCATGCAGCAGTCCCCTGGCTAAACACACAGACATGCTGGGCCCTTGAGCAGCTGTCCCCCACTGCAGCTGACAGCTACAAAGTGGGAGCCAAGAGGGCCAGGGAGCACAGGCACCTCGAGGGCCGGCTGAAGCAGTGAAGGCGGTGGCGGGCCTGGCTCTCCCTGGGGACTTCAAATGACATTCATGACAGAGCTCAGCTACCTCCTCCCATGCCACACCTCTTCCTCCTCCTCCTCCTCCCTCAATCAATGAACAGCATCCCACGCTCCACACATCTGATACAAAACTGGGTGTCTCTTCCAGACTCCTCCCTTGGTTCATTCAAGTGGCCACCAAGTCCTGTCTGTCCTCCCATCTCCACGGCTACAGCCATGTCCCTGCCTCCCCTGCCCTGTCCACCTTCTGTTCTCTCCACCCGCACTCTGCCCCCGCCATCCATGTGCCATACAGTGGCAGACTGGTCTTTCTACAGCACACTGGACTAGCGCCCTTCCCTGCCCACAGCTCTCAGAGCTGGAGGTGGAGTTGAGACTCATGGTTTGACATTCAGAGCTCTTTTTCCCTCGGCACTGGCTTATCCAGAGCGCTCACAGTGCGGGGCAGTTATGAATTTACCGTTTATGAAGAACTTGCCACATACTATTAGTGGTTTTTGAATCATGTCAGAATCACCCGGATGCCTGTGTAAATGTAAGTTCCCAGGCTTCATTCTCGGAGATTCCGGTCCTGTGAGCCTAGGGTGGGGCCCGGAAATCTCTATGGGGTGGTGCAGGCTGCCCCAGGACCACACCTAAGAAACACTGCAACTCTCCACACACTTCCAAGTCCCCAAATACGTAGGCAGGTATCTCATCTCCATAGAACAGATAGGGAAACTGAGGTCCAGAGTGGGGAAAGAAATGGCACAGGGTCACCCAGCAAGTAGTAGCAGAGCCACGACACACCCACTGCCTGCGGACACCATCTCTGGTGACAGCTCCCCCTCCCTACAGGAACCTTGCCCACCCCCACCCCTACCTCCTGCTGCCCCTATGGTGGGTCTCTGTCCAAGGAAGATGTAGCCCTGGTCCTCTAGGCTGACTGGGGCTCAGAGGAAATGCTTGGCCCAGAGTGTAGGAGCTAGAAGGGTTCTTGGAATTCAGGTGAGGAAATTGAGGCCCAAAGAAGGGAGTCCTCAGATTTAAACTCTGTCTGGAGAAGGTCTGGGTCCCCTTCCTGAGTGGTAGGTTTGGCTTCACCAGCCCGGCCCTCAGTCAAGCTGTCTGTCCAGGCCCGCCACACCTTGGGGTGGGTGACCAGAGGCGGTGGTGCCATAAAACACGTTTCCTGGGAGATCCACCCCCAAAGCTCAAATATTCCAGGGCTGGTGATTTGGGCATGCCCCCTTCCCTCTCAGCCCGGTTTCCCCATCTCTACAATAGCTGTGTTGGAGGAGACTTCTCTCTGAGACTGAGCTGCAGATGTTCTCCCGGGTGCCTACACCGCCCAGGTTGCTGGCTCCTCTGTGCCCACTCTTCAAGACAGTCAGCTCTTAGGTGAGGAAGGAGCCTCAGCCCTATCAGAAATGGAGGCCGGTGCACCCCCAGCCTCCCAGACTGCTAGGGATGACCTGGGCTGCCTGCAAAGCCAGTAGCACTGCTGCCCAGGCCACAGACACCCACCAGGGAAGGTGGCCCTGGCCCTTACAGCAGCTCTGAGAAGAGGCAGCCCCCAGTCCAAACCTCGCTGAGTCACCCACACCTTCCCTCAGCTCAAAGAGGCTTTTAGGACATGCATCATCTCAAGTTCATACCCATGGGGTTGCTGAAAGAAAGGACAGTGTGGTATGAGCTGGTGCGAGGGAGGGCTGCTCTCTGCAGACTTTGCAGGGAGGGCACTTAGGAAAAAGGACAAATCTGGGAGGGTGACTAGCTCAGGGTTAAAGGGAGTGGATAGGGCTAGAGTGGGCTGGCCTCGTTGTCCTCCTTGGGCCTCCCAGCCTGGGCTCAGATGATTCAAGGGAGCAAGCACCTCCCTCTCCCAGCCAGGGAGTTCTCGCCATGTTTTGGAATCAGTACCATTCCCT